TTTCAACACCTTGCTGAACAATGTCACCTCTCAACAGACACAACCCTAAGAATCCAAGCTACCCAAAAATATTGTTTTTCTCGAACTTTTGCGACTGCACGCGCTTCTGGTCCCCTGAACCTACACCCCCACCGACCGCTACGCCATCAGCGGCAAGCGGCTGAGCCTGCTTCGCGCTCGAGAACCCCATCTAGGGGCGCGGCCGCTACGACAAACACTGTGGACACTGAGGGCCATGCTCGGCCAAGGGCCGTGGTCCCCACTGCCTGCTGCACCGCGACCGACAGTATGCTCCACCAGCGTCGGGCCCAACCGGATGCTGCTGCGCGTTGCACCGTTGGCGGCACTCGGCAAACCCGGATGCAGAGCATGCCCTGAACGAATCGCAAGGCGTCGCTGTTCCAGCGGGGGAATGGAGAGGCAGACCCCAATCCCCAATCTGCCAAATATGGACGAAACTGTGCGCATGAATGTCTTTTAGGAGACTTTCGTTGGTAGTTGCTGCCAGTATTGTTGCAAGAAGGAGGGTTGGGGGTAGGGGGGGATGTGCGCAGGCGAAGAAGATGTGTGCAAATGTCGGTTTGTTCATGTATTTGCTGCGGTTAAGGCTCAACAAGTGTTGAAAACGCTTCTTCTTACTACTATTCTTACTAACGTTACTATTATCACTATCATTGCTATCATCATTATTACTATTAGGATTACTATTATTACCACCATCACTACTATTGCTACTATTATGATTATCAGTAATATTACCATGAGGGTCGTTATAACGAACATTGCTAATATTGCTATCGCTACTAATACTGCTATCTTTAATATTATTATCAATACTGTTTTATCTCCACTACTGTGTAAAAGCAAGCCTAGCTTGCATTTTCTGAAAAGACCAGGCTCCCTACAGTCAAATGGTTGCTTTTACATCAGGAAGAATATTGGGCACCTGAGCAAGGGTAGGAGCTGAGGCCCGGCCCGCAACAAAGAAATTGCACGGCATATGGGTGGTTGTCAAAATTATGGTCCCCCTTTTGGGTACCCTAAATATTAGGTGCCGTATTATAATAGAGATCCAAAAAGGGACCAGAATTCTGACAACCAACCATATGAGCTATAGTCTAAACTCCTGATATCCCCCTTAATAACCCCTATAGCAGTCCCCTATATAATACCCTTTGTAACCCCTTTAAGGAGGTTAGATTATGGCTCATATGAGTGTGATTCTTGTTGGTGTCTCAAGGCGGGTCTACTGTCATCTTAAATGCCTTCGAAAGAAAGGTTGTACTTTTCGCTTGGTAACCCTAGTGGATTGCTTCAACGATCTGGCATCGAAACAGTGCTTTCAAGCTGTGTTGCCGGGGCTTGGCATTAAAAAATCTAGCACGAGGCATAGCTGCTGGTGTGATTCAGTCGTATGAGCCATAGTCTAAACCTAAACTCCTTAAAGGGGTTAGGTAGGGGAGCATTAGGGGTCATTAAGGGGGATACTAGGGGTTTAGACTTCTGCTCATGTTGTTCCAGCTAGAGGCATGGCAAACTGCTCGTCTCCTTTCTCAGCTGTGCGCTTCATCTCGCTGGCGCTTTGCGTCTAGGCAGATATACCCCACTCAGTGACCCTGAAGCATAAATCTTGTTCTCTCCAATAAGTGTGGTCCTTATCATGATATTTTCCATTCCTTGATTCCCTACTAACCACCTGTACGGGGTCTATACTGCCTCGGCTAAGAAGTCGCGGCCATGCAAAGCGGGCTATACAACGCCTCAGTCTTCCAGATGTTCAGTCGTCCTGGCAATCAGCATCGGAAGTGCAGCCTACAATACGACTTGAATGCACCCTAAACCCTAAACCCTAAACCCTAAACCCTCAGGCCCGAACCCAGAAGATCCTAAAGCTCCTCAAGTTGCGCCTCCTCGTCCTCAATCAGTTCTGGATTCGCCGCTCGCATAAGTGCTGGATCCTGGGATTGGAATGCTACCTAGCGGTTTAGGGTTTAGAGTTGAGGGTGGGCCAGTCCCCCACCCAGTAACGGATACCACAAAAGACTATTGTAGGTTGAATAGGGGCCTAGAAACTCCATACTATACAGTTCTATCCTCGCTATATCGACCTATACCATGCTAAGATATTTCATCCGATTTTGCGTACCATAGTGCACGAAACTATGCACCCGCATGCCAGAGGCATTATAAGGCTATTGCGCTGTAACAGAAACCATCCCCCCGCATCGGCATTCAACCCACCTCGCCTCCTGCCCCTAGATGAATGGCTTCTTCAATCTAGTTGTGATTAACGTTTTTTTGGTGGTTGAACCTAGTAAGATTATGTTCCTTATACAGGATACTATACCCCAAAAGGAGGATATAATCTTACTCTATATTGGGTACCATGATATCCCCAAATAAGACAATAAATACTCTTGTTGACTTACAAGGCCTAGGGCTGCCCTAAAACCCTGACCTGTAAGGTTTTGTAAGGTTTTGGTGCTTTGAGGGGAGAGCCATTATCATGCAGAGTTATCAAAATTAGCTTCCTTTATGGACACTCGACTCCACACATTATAAAGGCCTCATTAGAACAGTACCCAAATCCCTAACGCCTGAGGCGATAATTTAGACTGTAAAGTGGGCGGGTTCGACTCGCAAATGCTGAGGCAACGGCTGGCTTGAATGGATTGAACTTCACCTGGCACAAGATCCCATCATCCTTTTGAATTTACGAATGCTTAGTGGGGAATATGGAAATGTATTATGCAGGAATTACATGGGGATGTATTCCCTTGTTCGCTAATTACTAAGAACCAGTAAGTTAAGGAGATTAACCATATCAAGTGTTTAGGACTAAGTTGTTTGGGTTTCGGTACTTGGGTTTCAGTTCACGCTGTATATAGGCATTTGGACTCGGTGCTTTTTCAATGCAGGATTGCCAAAACGATGATACAACATCACTGCTGCTCCTTTCTAGACCCAAAACCCTTAACCCTAGACCGTTACCTTCATCCTCGCGATCACACATACTGGAAGCTTTTCAGAATCAGAGTCGCCTCAGCTGATATAACCCCCCCAACGCCCAAGTTTTATAGCCTAGATTTAGTATTCGAGGGTGGGTGGCTCCTCCTTTTTCAATACACCCTAAACCCTAAACCCTGCTGGAATCTTGATTCCTGGACGCCCACCTCGGTTCCTTCTTGTGCCCGGCTGCCGGCTGTAGGGCCTTTGTGAACCTGAAAGCCAATGCTAGCAACGGGCGCAAGGTGAACTGCAAAAATCACAGCAGCGATAATGATAAAACAGATGTCGCAAACAAAACCCAAAAAAAAACAAGCAAGCATGACAAAAGCAGCAATAACAAGACCCGAGCCAGTGAATGGGCATGTTCTTCCCATGAAAACTACAGCCTAAACCCTGAACCTCAAGCCCTAGACCCTAGACCCTGAACCCCGAACCCTCCTAAACCCTAGCGCGCCCAGGTGTGCCTGCAATAGACTTGCAGCCTTTGTTGCCACGAAAGCCTCGCTTTGCCTAAGTCAAGTAAGTGCACGCACAGCGCCCAGCAGACTGAAGCCACATGAGCTATAGTCTAAACTCCTTAAAGGGGGATTATATAGGGGACTACTATAGGGGATATTAAGGGGGATACTAGGAGTTTAGACTACAGCTCACATGAGGGTTTGGGGTGTGGGGTTCCACCAAACTGACATAGAACCCCAAAAGAGCCCACGACGGCACCTGTCCCTTTCCATGAGCTTGACGGGCTTAGCTTGATGGGGTTCCCATAACAGTAAGAATAAATGCGGCGGAGAGAAGTTTGGATGTTTGGGCCTGCTGCCATTCCCCACTCACCAACAATAAGACCGGAAGGGAAACCCTCAACCCGTAAACTCTATGCGAATTGTCCTTGTGCAAGACCGAAAATTCCCCGCCGAAGGGCCCCTGACTCCTACTGTAGTAACGATTGTTCCTTTCTTATTGTTATTGCTATACTATTGTTTGCATTTTATTAGTACTACTATTATCTCCATTATTCTTATCGTTAGGAAAACGGACCAAGCTCCAGGCTTTTGCGCCAGGTACTCAGAGCCCGCTCTCTGAGCCCGCTGCATCTCCTCTTTCAAAGCTCTACTGAGCTTGGGGTAGGGTTGAGGGTTTAGGGGTTGAGGGTGTAGGGTTCTATGTTGAGGGTTACGGCTAAGGGTTGCAGGTGGGGTTGCAGGCTTACCCTAAACCCTAGGTTTTGGATTTAAGCTGTACCGCTTTGGGCGGATGGCTGAGAGGCAGGATTCGGCGCCACAGTGCGAAGGCTTAACGTTTAGGCTGGGCCCTTCTTGTACAGGGGATGAAGTACTGCAAGTTATAGAAAGAGCTTCATCGGGGAGGGGAATGTAGAGAGGGGACCCTTCAAGGAAGCGAGAAAGCTGGAGATCCAGGGAAACAAAAAAAATGTCAATCGCAATCATAATAGCAATATAGATAGTAATAGTGATAGCGGTAGTCATGATCACAGTAGTAATACCACTAGAAATGCTAATAAGACCCTGTAGTCCCTAAGCTCAAGAACTCCCTTGTGCCCATCATGTCATGCCACTGTCCAGCATGATCTCACTCGCGTCGGTGAAGCCTCCCACGCGCCGAATCAGATTTCAGATCAAAAAAGCTACATGGGGCTTATACAGAGGAGATAATTACGAATTTAGATACATGGCGCATCCCAGTATCGTGCATGAGCTGTCCGAGGGAAACTTGCAGCAACAGCCTTCTCCTTGAAGGGCACCAACCTCAGTTGGCAGCCATGGTATCACGGTTGGATTCTTTTTCTCCAGCACAGCTAATGCAGGCTCCTCAGCCTGCAGGACTCTGTTACGGAAAATGATTGCGATGTTTGGCAACTGGCTAAGTTGCGCCATATTTGGGCTCATCCTGATGGGTGAAAAAGGAACAACTCGGGTGGGGTGAGCTGTAACACTCTAGAGTCCCATCGAAAATCTCAAGCATCAGAACTGCGCTCAGACGATGACCTCGTGGTCAGTCTGGAGCATGCCATCAAAGGGTGAATGACAACCTTTTTCCGCCTTGGGCGGTGTGGTTGTTACACCCTTCATGCCACATTCCTCCTTTGAGTCGATTGCATCAAGCCACTCTGGCTGCAGCTGGAAGTCATCCTCCATGTATTGATGCTTGAAAAACAGCTGCTCATCGCCGAAGGTCGTGGTTGTTGGGGCATGTTCCCCGATGCGAATCTTTCCGATCAATTCTTCGGCCGCTCCTGGCTTCTCTATCGCATACACGTCAAAGACCGCCTGCCCGGGCATCAAATCGGACTCGAGATTCTTAAGGCACTGGGCATAATCCTCACAGGGGCACTCCACCTTCACTACGGGACGCAACACCAGCTCGAAGGGGAACTTGCCCTTCTGACCATCTGCAAAGTCTGAGGTGCCCACCATCAAGGGGCAGTAAGAAGCCTGCCAGAACTTCTGTGCAATCAACTTCAAGCCAAAGTTGCTGGGTGGCTTGATGTGAGTAGTGAAGTCACGAGAGAAGAAGTTGCTCTCCTCGCATGGTTGGCCATCCAGGCTGGGCATAGCAACAAAGTTGGAGCTAGTGCGCCCGTCGCGCAAAAGCTTCAGGCCAATTCCTGGTGTGAAGCCGGATTTGCCCGGCTCCGCAGCGGAGGAGAAGCGAACGAAGCCATTCTCCGACCCAGAGCCGAAGAGGCCGCCATACTTTGAAGTCAGCGACTCCCAGTTGATGGGCGCGACTGCCCCGACGCTGTGGATGTACTTGATGCGGGAGCCTGGGAAGATGTCTGACTGCGACTCGAAAGACACCTGAACGCTCTCCCCCATGAGGCCAGTGAGCACTGACAGCGCGGCAGGATACCGGCCGGCCGTCGTGTTCTGGCTGATGCGGTTCCAAAGCAACTTTTGCTTCTGCTGCCCCGTCAGCTCTTCATAGGGCTTGTATTCCGGAAAGGAACAATAATCATGGCTGCCCAATGGCAAGCTCCAGGAGGCAGTGCCTTTGGTGCACTTCTTGTCCTTGACCTTGCAGATCGGAGCTGCAAAGCAGCCGGCAAAAGGACTTTCTTTGCACTCAGACACGCACTCGCATCCAAGCACCGTGGCCGGTGAGTACTGGTAGATTGGCGTATCTTGTCCAAGCGCCCAGCTGGCAAACACTGGCAAAGCGGCCGCTGCACGCTTCATGCTTGATGCAAGTGTCTGTCACAGCTTGGTCCGCCTACTCTTGATCTGCAATGCTCACGGACATGCAGCATGTGCTGCACCTAATTCCGGTGTCGGAAGTCGTTATCAACCTTCCTGCCTGGGCTGGGCATTGATCTCACCAACATTCAACCCCCTATGCCGGGAACTTAAGCACTACCTGAGAGGCGGTTTGCTGTGTACCAGCGTGTGTATCTGTAAGCCGGTGGCCAGGGTAGCGCATAGGGAGATCTGCAGCAGTTGGCATTGCATTCCTGCAGCCTGGCGATGAGTGCTTGGTGCAAGGAATTGGGAAGAGCAGAACCTCAAAAGAATAGATATGTCTGAGAGGGGGAGACACAGGATTCAAGAACCCTAAACCCTAAGCCATTGTCACCGTAGCACTAATGGGGGCACAAGAATGCTCGGGTCCGGCCTCGTGGATAGTAGTCCAGAAGGCGTGATTTACGGTATTGCAGTCTCGGATTGAGCTTCGACCAAGTCGTGTAAAATGGCTGCGAGCAGGATGCTGGCATCGCAAGTTCAGATGAAGCAAGTCCAAACCATGGGCAATAGTAGTAATAATTGTAATGATAGAGATGATAGTAATGGTGGTAATCACGGTGATAATGGACATAATACGAATTATAACATGCCCACAGCTGCCTTGAATTTTGCCCTCTCTTCGGTTCAATCGCATTTGTCTCCTGCCGCATTCGGGAACCCTATCTTTTGCCTGCACACGGCCGTCCCTTCAGGACCAGAGGCCGTGCCAACTTCAAAGTAAAAAAGATGGAGCAACTGCCTGCCAACAGGAAGTTGGCGCTCTGATGCTCGGCGAGAGCAAGCTGCAAAAACCCTCAAAAACCCTCAACCCCAACTTGAAACCTTTAACCCTAAAACCTAAGCCCGGTTCCTTTGCAAGCTGGCCCCGGAGGCTATCGCCCAATTTGTGGGATGCCATCAAAATGCCCAAAAGGGGCAGCTGAAAAAAGGCAGGCAGAGAGCTTGTTCGAGCCACAGCTCATGCGCTTCGCGCTGCTAGCTGTTTTGAGATCTGGCTTCAAGTTAGGATGCTTAAGTTACCCCCCCCCCAACAAATGGGAATTGAGAAATGTAGTGGTTCTAAAAGGATTGTAAGAGGCTATATCGGGATTGATGTTGGGATACATCATCCCAATAATGGAGAATGAAATGGAAATTGAAATGGAAGCTGGGAACTTTCTTTCGGACCCATCAATTCAAAATCTCTAAGCCCCAAACCCTAAACCTTGAACCTTGCTCCATTTAGATGCTTCAAAACAGCTCAAGCTCCCATTTGCCTCCTGAATACTTAGGAAGATTCTGTTACACCGGGGAGGCTTACTGGTTTTGAAAGGGGAAGGGAGGCCTGTATCCATTTGATTACTCCTATCGATGCCCTTTTTAAGAATCGGGAATAATACCCTAAGCCCTAAGCCCTATACTAGGAACTATGTTCCCTGCCCCCTCTCCCTTCAGCACCAGTAAGGAGACGTCCCATCGAGGCGTGTCCCCGCTTAATGTGAAACCATCAGAGAGGGGCCAAACCTGGCGTTTGAAGGCTTCATTCAGGGTTTAGAGTTTAGGGTTTAGGGTTTAGGGTTTGGGGCTTAGTTCAGGGCTTGGGGATAAGGTCTTGGGTTCACGGCTTAGGATTTAGGGTTGAAGGCTTTAGGGTAAGGATACATATTCAAAAATGTGAGGATCTTGAATTCCCCTCGAAGACCACCAGGTGCAACTGGAGAGGCTGATGCCTTTGAAGCAGCTACATGGCCCCTAGCTGCCCCTGAATATACAAGTCTCTCCTCGACCCTAAACCCTCTCTTGAAACCACTACATGAGATAGTCTAAAGTCCTAGGATTCCCCCTAGTAACCCCTATAATACCTTTGTGATCCCCTATATAACCCCGTTGTTCACATGGCTGACCGCCTTGGGCTGTCATGGCTTGTCGTGAAGATGGACATGGAGAGCGAAAAGTGGGACGAAGTCCTTGTTGGATTTGGACACCTCGGGCCGAGGGCACTCTCATCGTGAAGCCACTACAGACTCCCCAGCAGAGCCCACATATATTGAGGTTGTATTGGGATAATGGAAAATAAAATGGAGACTACTGTTTGAGGGTTAAGGCCAATTTCTTGGCTGTAATATGGATTAGTTCCTCCACTTTTGCGGCTTAGAATGGCTTGTTAAGGGCGGTTGGGGATTGTTAGGGCGTCTGAGGGCCTTATCGGCTGGCCCGTGGTAGTCCTATGATCTCAACCTTTCCAGCCAATTCCAGGTGAGCTACAGTCAATACAGTCAATATTTCCTACATCTTTTCTTGGGTTCCTTATTGGGGGACTATTTTAGGGACTATACTAAACTACAATACAACAGACCCCTACATCCACTGTTAAGCCTTAACAAGGCTAACATGTCCAGTAGCTCACCTACCACTATGGGCTATTAGACCTTAAGGGTACCTTAATCTACCCTTAATAGGGTCCTAATGGGGAATTTTAAGGTCTAGCCCATAGTGGGAAGGGGAGGAGCCTAAGACTCGGTCGGAGCTGGGCTTCGGCTTCTCGACCTCTTTGTGCCACAGACGTTCAGGGGTGTCCTGGCTGCAGAAGGAATGGCAAAAAGCTTGGGATAGTGGAAGAGAAAATGGAAACTACTATTTAGGGTTCTGTTCGGGTTATATCGGGATAATGGAAAATGAAATGGAAACTACTATAGTATATTGGGGTTATATTGGGGATAATGGAAAAGAAAATGGAAACTACAGTGGTTATTGGGGTTCTATAGTGTTATTTCGGAACTGGCTGCCCCAGGAACTTTCTGACTGTCAATGTGGAATGGAAAAGACGATGGAAAGCAATCCGGTATTCCAGTATTGCGGAGTATATGAGCTGTAGTCTAAACTCCTTACAATGGGATTATCCAGGGAGGTATTATAACTATAGGGTTTACTCAGGGGGATACTAGAGCAAGCAGAGGCTAACCCCA